ATACGGAAAATATAAACAGTCCATGCAAATCTAGTATGAACATCTTTTACCATTCATTTACACGCAAAAGTGTTCATGTTCCTCCCTTTACTGATGTGATCATTTTGTAGTTATGATGATCATGCGTGTTCATTTTCAGATGCAAGGCTGTAAAACATTACAAATTGTGGGATTCTTTTATATAGCATTTTTCTTTATTCAGAAGACAACAGCGAAGGTTATGGGTTCGAATCCTGGAGAATGCATGAACTGATAAAATGCATGCAATCGATGTCGATTTTAGGTAAATGTAAACAATAAATGGCTGAACAACTGTTAAATGCGGAAGATTTAAAAAGCCACTCATTGTTTTCACGACATAGCCTAATTTCCTCATGATCTCGACATAAAATGTGTTTTTCCCGTGATAACAATTCAGTCGCGTGACCAAAGTGATTTCGAGTGGTTTTGTTTTTTTTCTTAGTCTTGAGGTAACAAGACTTTTTTTTCCAATTTATTGACTGACGGCTCTCCTGTCCCCATGTCGAGAGAACTCAGAAGATGTTACTGTAGTTCTAAAATACATATGAATATGCATTATCTCACACACAATTAAAAAAAACAACAACACCGATTCAGTATTCCTCAACATGAATAAAAATAATGCAACTGCAATAATTAAGTGTTTAACAACACAAATATGCTTTATGTATTTAATCCCATTCTATTAAGCAATGTCTTTGCTTCTGACCTTCGATGATCCAGTTCAGCCGTACTAATAAGCACAAATTACTCTAGACGAACATTTGTGTGTCTTTGTTTATTGCTGAAGTGTGTTGATATTTCTTCTTCTGCATTCTACTGTACTTTCCCTTCAGCCTGAGGTGCATTCATTTCACTTCTGGTGTGAAAAGGCTTTTATATTTGCCAAAAATATAACTTTTTTATTTTAAAAACAAACACGCAAGCCCTGTCCAGATTTTAAAAGTAACGTACCGCATTACTTTCCATAAAAAGTAACTAAGTACCGTATTTAGTTACTTTTTTTATGGAGTAACGCAATATTGTAATGCATTACTTTTAAAAGTAACTTTCCCCAACACTGATTATGATTGCACAACAAATATTTGTATGAATATAAAATATATTTCTGTTAATTCATATTTTATAGTTTTCAAGGGAAGTGCTATCAACATGTACAGCGACTGGGAAGAAATGCATTGAGCACTACACAATAACAATAACTCAATTCTACAAGACAAATCATTTATTTATATTATACAACAGCATGCACATTTATGAAGTGCAAAAACAGCATTACTATGAGAGATCATACAGTGTCTCAGAGGAGATGAGATACACATGGCAGACAGCTGCTGCTATAATCCAGACGTTCCCTATTAACCATCTCTTCTTCAAGACCGTAACAATGTGTCAGCAAAATATGGACTTTCTGATCGTGCTGGATACGAGGCTATCCGAGTCAAACACATGATTTATCTGTTGAAGAGTGAGAACTTTTATCCATGTACTGCAAGTGTGACAGCAGAACTATTAATCATGTTATACACACATCTGATCCAAAATGTTCAGCCCTTCATGGCGAATTTGCCATGCTGTCAGTTTGGACTGAAAAAAATCAAGATATTCCTGGTTATTAAAAGGCTCTGCTGTTCATGATAAAATGTGAAATAAAATGTGTTTAAATGTTACGAAAGGAGATTTCAATTTAAAATTCGTATTATGTTTACTGATGTATGCGTCAATCTTTAACCCCCACTGCTTAGAAGGTTTAAGAAATTAAATTGGATGAATTTCAACAGGGGCACATTGTGTAAATTATGTTGTCATAGCAGTGAATGGATTTATTATTGGATGTCATCATTTGACATTTCCATAAAGCCTCAGGTTGATTCCTTCTTAACAAATGCACAACTAAATGCACTTTCCCCCCGACGTTTACCAAGATCTTTCAGTCAACAGATGGCAGGGATGATATGCAGTAGGGTCAGTGCATGAAGCTGTCAAAATGAAGTATTAAGATCAATAACCAGAAGTATCCCAAGAGCGAGTGCTGCTCTCAAAGAAAAAGAACTGCATACCTTGCCTTAAAAGGACAGCTATAGTTATTTGTGTGTCAAATTTGTTTTGTTTTGCTTTTATACTTCATTGTAAGATACATACTGTATGTAGAGATCATGCACGTCATGGTGGTATTATCATAATACTGTCTTTTCTACATTCAGTGTACAACAACATAGTCACAATTTCAACTCAATCCAAATAGCTACAGCTTTTTTTGAATATAAGTTATGTTTGTAACGTCATCATATACCATCGCTGACATGTTTTGACATGCAGCAGGTGGGCTCTCATAATACCTTCAGGCGTAATGTATGAAGTATGGCAAGAGTTATGTGTTGTATGTCAGCAGTGTCAGCAGTGAAAGTGGTTGAGTTCATTTACTCTGGAATGTGGAAGGTCATATGAATTGCTTATAAACATCCCGTTGTCTGTAGTTTAATACTATACTTTTTTTTAATTCAGTTTCCATGTTTTTATTAGTTCTGCGCGCGCGTGTGTGTGTGTATATACCTGTTTTTCTATTCTGGTGGGGACTTAAACCTGAATACACACAGACTCATGGGGACTCATGTCCTAAATTGAGGTCCCCATGGGTAACCAAGCTAATAAATCACACAGAATGAAGTTTTTTGAAAATCTAAAAATGCATAAAGTTAGGGGTAGGTTTAGGTGTAGGGTTGGTGTAGGACAATCGAAAATACTGTCTGTAAAGTAGACAAACCATTACACCTACAGAGAGTCCCCACAAGGATAGCAAACCAGACCAGTGTGTGTGTGTGTGTGTGTGTGTGTGTGTGTGTGTGTGTGTGTGTGTGTGAGTGAGTGAGTGTGTGCAGTGTTTGTGAGTAACGCTAGCTTCTGCGGTTCTCAGGAGACACAGATGACAGCGAGTTAGGCCTCGAGTCGTTGATTCAGGGCTTCACACATCAGCGCGTTCATATATAGATCTGCGAATGCACAACACAGCTGATTGATTGATTGTGGTTCGAGCTGCATCTGAGACACTGAACGTCTTGTTATTCTCCGCCTTTGCCGCATTTCTGAACAAATGGCTATCGGGTTAGCATTAGCATGAGCGGCCTGCTCTGTTTGAGCTCGTCTGACAGCCCAGAAGCGACGGCGCTGTATCAGCAGAGAGCTGCACAAACCCTGAAGTATTGAGCGTGTTATGCTGTCAGAGCAGATGCGTGTATGTGTATGATATTAAGCTGTATTCGCCTGTATACGGTTGCAGAAGGACACGTGTGAGATGCACGTGCTTGTCACGCACTCTGTCGCGATGCTGAACACACACACACACACACACACGTGTCTGTTAGCCGTTAGCAGTTAGCCTGTGAGCTCTCCTGATGAATACTCATCATTGACACTACTGTAAATATGCAGGCGGACCTCATTGAGCGCAGTGCGTTATATCAGCAGAAGCAGACAGTGCTGTGGTGCTAGCATTGAGCTGCTATCCCAGAGTTCCTCAGCATGAGGAGGACAGCTGGTGTGTGGCATGTGATCAGAGGCTGTGCTGCTTCAGTGTGTCTCAGGCTGATGCACCATCATCATCTCAGCTCTGAAGAGTGTGCCAGTCAGTCTGCGGACACCTTTTACATTTGAATGATTGCTTCACTGAGCTCAGTAGATTGAGTGTTGGTTTTGCATGTGTAATGTTAGTGATGCTGTATATAGCGATGGGCCCCGGGCTCTGTAGGGGACATTCTCAGAGCATTTAGTAGATTTGGAAGTTAAATGCATCTGGTATTAAGAGCTGCAACCCAAGAAAAAAGCCTTTGCGTTGATTTTCACATGCACCATTACTTTCCATAAAAAGTAACTAAGTACCGTATTTAGTTACTTTTTAATGGAGTAACGCAATATTGTAATACATTACTTTTAAAAGTAACTTTCCCCGACACTGCGCGCGCATATATATATATATATATATATATATGCCTATATGTATGCATGCATGTAAACTGATATACGTTTCTTTTTTCTTTTCCTTTTTGAGACTTTATTTTTCACAGGGAAAAAAAAAACTTTGAATGCATGTCTGCGGCTTAATTGAAGATGTTTCAGTCATGTGCGGAAAATGTAGTCAGCACGCGGGGCTTAAATGAAAACAAGTATGTGCTGAATTTGCGCAATCGTGCATAACGATCAGCACAGATCACGAGAGAGGAAACCCAACACATGAGCGCTGAGATAGCAGAGACGACCGCTGATGACATTACATCAGCCGAGCAATTCAACCGGCGTTTGTTACATAACTGACACGCTGTTATAAAGCAACTCATTACAAATAAAGAGTTACAGTTCCGCCGTATGTTACATGACCACTGGTTACCGCGCGCGGATCAGAACGCGGTGACATCCGTAGCTCGCGCTTATTCCGTCTGAAACTTACCTTGAAGAGGACCGATGAAAACTGCATGCCTGATGCTGAGAAAGCCGGCATAGTTTCCGCAGCGCCCGCAGTGCAGCCATGGGTGCGTGATGTAAATAAGACTCAAATAAAAGGCTAACTCGCACGTGCGTCCCAAAACACACACACCGGGTGGAAATAAGGCAGAAAGGTGTGCACACCATCGGTTTATAACCCGTGCGTCACCGTATGATCCGCGAGCGGAAACTACCGCCCTCCGCCGCAACGCGCATGCTCCGTTTAACTACACGGTTTCAGCAGACAGGAGGCTTTTTTTTGGACTCAGTTTCACTTCTAATTGTTTAGAAAGCACCGAACAATTGTAACAACATTCGGTCCGTATAAATCAGGAGGTTTGCACGCAAGCAGCGGGTTATTTCTACGGTTGCACCGCGGCACCCGCTGGGAACCAATGGAAGACATTTCCTGAGTCTCTACTTCTACGCCTACTTATATCTTTCGTCTGTAAAACCTCGCACTCGGAAGAGTGCTGATAAATGCTGTTTAATTGCCTTTGGGAACTAACTCTATAGTAGTAGACATTCGTATTGCCTTCTAAAAGTTGCTTCCGAAGAGGAAAAGAACCGGATATGAGTTTCTTATTGTGAGTATTTTAGTCGGTGCAACCGTTTATTAACCTTTTCTTTCTTGCCATTATCGCGCATCACAGATATATATATATATATATATCAGCAATCAGCTGTTTATTCCCAGAAGAAATAGTCATATGGAAGCACATCCAGCTAGAAATCAAGCGAATAACATCTGTGGCTCAGCTTTCAACATTTCCGGTTGGCTGTCTGTTCCTGTGTTTTGCATTAAAAAAAATATATATTTTAATTTTTTTCCCCTTTATTAATTTTTTTTTTTTAAGTTCTTCCCCTCTGTTGATATATTGTTTATAGTCAGTGTAACCAGGTTTTCCCAGTGGACTTGATTGGTGTGACACACTATGATTGCAGTGGAAGCCGTTCATCAAAGACCTTCAAGCCCAAGAAGAATATCCCAGAAGGCTCTCATCAGTATGAGCTGCTGAAGCATGCCGAGGCCACCTTAGGAAGCGGAAACCTTCGAGCTGCTGTGATGCTACCTGAGGGAGAGGACCTTAACGAATGGATCGCTGTCAATAGTGAGTTTTCTGTAGAACAATTCAAATCTACAATTGTACATGGACACATAATACACCTATTCACATATGTGCATATAATTACATCTCCAGGCAGTCATATATCTAAGTGTGCACTCGAGTAGTAAAAAGAGAGTTTTTTAAAAACTAGATAAGAGAGAGAGAGCTAGATAAACATTGTTAGCTTAGGAAGCGGAAACCTTCGAGCTGCTGTGATGCTACCTGAGGGAGAGGACCTTAACGAATGGATCGCTGTCAATAGTGAGTTTTCTGTAGAACAATTCAAATCTACAATTGTACATGGACACATAATACACCTATTCACATATGTGCATATAATTACATCTCCAGGCAGTCATATATCTAAGTGTGCATGTGTGCACTCGAGTAGTAAAAAGAGAGTTTTTTAAAAACTAGATAAGAGAGAGAGAGCTAGATAAACATTGTTAACAAGTAGAAACTGTATGCTGTTTATTTAAGTTAAAATTGGTCATTTAAAATAATTACTAAATGTATTTAATATCAGTGTTTCGGTATCAGGTTTTGACGGTACATTGAAATTAGAAAAAAACAATACCGATTCATTTGTTGTTACACGTTTTATCACCAATATACACGCTGCCAATCTTCAATTCAGGTGAGTTTGGGTGTGGGAGTATTTATGATTGTTATCTATGATTATTTATTTCAGCTGTGGACTTTTTCAACCAGATCAACATGCTCTACGGCACAATCACTGAATTCTGCACAGAAACCAGCTGCTCTGTTATGTCTGCAGGGCCCAGGTAAAATAAAACCGCATTTTTCAATGCTTTAGTATTTTCACTTATCCTTTGTGCTGTGCTCAGAATCCTTGACCTGTTTTGGTGTTTCTGGTTAAAAACGACCCGCTTTTGAAAAATGTCTCATTATGCTGTATTATCATCGAATATTGGATTTGGTGCCAACTTGATTTTCTTTCGATAAGCATGTTTCATATCACGCTTTGGAACTGATTGATCATCTGCCTCAATGATCTGAGCTTATGCACCTTAGCTTTCGATTGAACATTGCCAAAATGATCCACAAATAATGCTTCTCATTCAAAAACTGAGGTGCATACCCCCCCCCCCACCTGTTCATAAAAACATAAAAATATCCGAAACAATGTCACAAGCCTCGACGTTGCTAATCGCAAGAAAACAAAATCCATAAAGGCTAGTTAGCTTACATTTTTTGATTGTGTACAGTCCAATTTTGGTAATAGCCTAAATATAGACATATCTCCCGTGTTACGTCACCGTTTTTAAAAAGCACTTTTTATAACCTGTTACTCGGTCGGTGTTCCTTCGCGTGTGACACATTTTAGGTTGTTGTTTTATACTTGCATAACTACGGTAGCCGAGAAGTGCAAAGCAAATCACAATTCTGAAAACAAAAGAACAATTCAGAAAGCACAACAACAACTCAGAAAACATTATAACAACTCAGAAAACATTATAACAAGTCAGAAAACACAAGACAAATCAGACAAACTGGAAGAGGTAGGTATAGTTTGAGACAGCGCCATTGGTTTGGGATTACTCACCGCTGACTGGACGAGACATCTGTCAATCAAAGTATACAGAGAAGAACCAGCCGAAGAACAGCAGAGTCCTGGTAGAAAGTTCGGAGATGGTATTAAAGTAACTCAGTTTAAATGTATTGTATGAATTGCCCTTACTATGCAATAAAAAATAAGTCATCAGCTCCAGTGGCGCAGATGGATAAGCACGAGTCGTTGGCTTTTTGACACGATCGACCCGGGTTCAATCCCGCCTTTTGCCGAACTTTTTTTTCCTCCCTTTTTAAATCTCGTATTGGCAATGAATTCTATTTACACTAAGTGAAAATAGCAGTATGTATTTTTAGCAATATGCTACTTACACTAAGTGCAAATACCTAGTTACGCTATGTTAAAATAGCAGGATTTCTACTATCAAGTATACTACTTGTTGCAAATAGTGGCAATTATCTGCACTTCAGTATTGTAGTACATTATAAAACAGTATGCAACAATAACGTATTGAGTGTAAATTATAATTTTAATTATTAAATGGATGCCACCTTATTGGTACAATAAAGCCCTCCCTACACATACCCTAACCCTACATTATTTTCAACTTTTTGATTATTTCCTTAATTTTTATTCAAAATAAATGCCTATACGATGTGATACAAGATTTGAAAAGGGAGGGAAAAAGAGTTCGGCAAAAGACGGGATTGAACCCGGGTCGATCGCGTCAAAAAGCCAACGACTCGTGCTTATCCATCTGCGCCACTGGAGCTGATGATTTATTCTTTATTGCATAGTAAGGGCAATTCATTCAATACATTTAAACTGAGCTACTTTAATACCATCTCCGAACTTTCTACCAGGACTCTGCTGTTCTTCGGCTGGTTCTTCTCTGTATACGGTGATTGACAGATGTCTCGTCCACTCAGCGGTGAGTAATCCCAAACCAATGGCGCTGTCTCAAACTATACCGACCTCTTCCGGTTTGTCTGATTTGTCGTTGTGTTTTTTGACTTATTTTGTTTTCGAATTTGTCATTGTGTTTTCTGACTTGTTATAATGTTTTCTGAATTGTTGTTGTGCTTTCTGAATTGTTATTTTGTTTTTTAGACTTGCATTTGCGTTTGTAATTTATTTTGTTTTCAGAATTGTGATTTGCTTTGCACTTCACGGCCACCGTATTGTTCATCTAGTTTGGCACATACCCATTAACAGCCTGGCTGTCAGTGTTAGTTTAGTGTTAAAGTTGATAAGTGTGTGTTTTGTGAACATCCGGTTCGTCCGACATCCAAAATCAAGATTACTCTGGCTTTGTCAAGCTCCAAGAAAGTACGTGAAATGAGTTCACTAAAGTCTATATGATATTTACATTGTCATTTACCATGTTGGGGAAAGTTACTTTTAAAAGTAATGCGTTACATTATTGCGTTAAAAAGTAACTAAAAGTAACTAATTGCGTTCTCGTTACTTTTTATGGAAAGGAATGCATTACGTTACTTTTTCTCATCTGCCTTGGCCTAATTTTTCTCTTTTCAGAAAAGAAACACAAATGTTATGTTTATCTAAAGTCATTTTTATAGTATGGTTGATCATCGAAGGTCAGCAGCAAAGATACTGGTTAATAAAATAGAATTAAATACATAACGGATATTTGTGTTATTTAACATGTTAGCTTCATGTCAGTTTGCATTTGACTGTTTTTATTCATTTTGAGGAATATTGAATCTGTTTTGGTGCGAGGTGAGTAAATGCATGTTGACATTTAGTCTAGAACTACAGTAGCTTCGTGTTCACACAACGCCTCTGCACCTCTGATTTCTCTCAACATGAGGACAAGAGAGCTGTCAGTCAATATATGGGAAACAAAGTAACTGGTGTTACTTGAAAAAGTAATCTCGGCAAAACGATATATCGGTTGGGCTAGTATAGATATAATATATATATATATATATAATAATAGATATACTATACAGCTAGTATA